AAAATGTCATGATAGTCTAGTACGAACAGCTTGTTTTCTTCTAATGCCTGCAAAACCCACAAATATCATCCATGCATTTTAGGGAATCTTTCCTCTGTTTTATGTATTTGTCTTTTAAGGGCTCTTGTTTTCTAGACATATATACCTGCTGTATTGACATGCCATTGAGATGGCCTATTATATGCTCCTCCTTGAGTGCCGACTCTTGTGGACCATAAATGGAGGGATCCAATTTGCTTACAGGTGGGAAAACCGTGAGCCTTTGTATGCTCATAGGGTTTGTGCCAGCAATTGCTTGACGCCCAAATTCTTCATCTGTCAAACAACAAGATTTAATCCCTGAAATAATTGGAGTGTGAGTGAGATTTTATACGCAACCATGGTTCCGTTCTCTTAATCCAATAATAATAAGTAATAAGATCTTATGACGCTTGCTTGCCACTTACCAGAGATTAGCTTTGGGGGGTCAAATTTGAGGAATTCCTGGACTTTGTTCAAAATCTTAGGTAAAGACATGTCAGTACTATAGAGAAAGTTGATATCTGCATACCCCTTGAAAACATTGCTGTCCCTGCTGGCAATAATTGTAAGGGTAGGAATTATATGCCGGAGAATTCCCTTCAACTTTCCAACGTCAAGAGCTCCTTGCTTGGCCTCCTCAAACTCTTCATCTCTGGGCACGTAAATTCTCTTGTATTCATTTTCCGGTGACTCCATATTATCATCTGTTGCATTGCATTCACATGGATGGATATTATAACTAATTGCAGAAACCCAATTGAATACCCGTATTAATAACGCATATTAATCTACAGTATTCAGTAAATTGTCGATATATATTTATTTCATGACAAAATATTAACGATGTATTAGTTATTGTAGATTGATATTTGGTACTAGACAATAACTCTCACTATCTAACTTAGTGACCTGTGTTAGTTGGTGGTCGTCCAGTTCGGCAACGTCTAGGGTGTGGGTGTGTATAATTGCCCCCAAGGGTAGATCGTATGTATTCAATCCCCGCATCTGGATTTCCAATGTCATTGTAAGTGTCATAGTCGTATATTCTATCGGATGGTAATCTAAGTCCCGTCCCATCACCCCTTAGCTGCCTTAGCTCCATTTCTCTCAGCTCTTTTAGCCCTGCTGGTGTCTCATCACGTAAGTATGCCTGCAAAAACATGGCCATGACTAATTTATATAACTTTATTATGGATCATGAACCTCCTCTATATTTAGCATCCGTGCATTTACTCTTATTTCGTAAAATCTAAGCTACTTAAATAATCTAACAACTTAGCATATGACACAACATCTATATAAGTGTTTTTTTTTTTCCAAACTGATGTTAACGTTAAAGTTAAGATATATTTAGTCATATACCCATTCTTAGCACTAAAACTATAAATAAACTCGACACTATTTAATTTCTATAAACAAACGAAAAAAAAACCCCCAAAAAATGATAACTAGTTCTATTGAATTTTATTTTAATTATTAAATTACTTTGATATTTAGTGTTTTGGGTTTTTTTTTGTTGAGGTTTTTGAGTTGAGTTTGTTTTAAGAAATCAATGGCAGTTTTGTAATTTAAAAAAAGTTAAAAGCCTTTTTGTTATGTTGTAAATGGATTTTGGGTGTGTTTCTAAAGTCCATTTTATATAGGGTTTTTTTATTTTATAATTTGGGCTCTTGTATTAGGTTTCTTCGCTGCTTGTTCCTCCAGCATCGTCATCCATTCTTGGAGATGCTTCACGTACTTAACATGTCAATCTGCAAACCTTTGAACTTCAAAAATTCATAAACTAAAGCATCTTAAACACGAAGAAACACTAAAATTCACAACAAAATCAGAGAAAGCAAAAGAGCAAGCTTTTCTCAATTATAAAATAGAATTAGTTAATTCAATATGAAGATCAACTACGAACATAAATAACTCAACAACCCAAGAATGTTATTGCATCTCCAAAGAACTAAAGCCTTGATCTATAGTGAGGAAGCACTATGAAAAAAAAAAACATCAAGCAGGTTAACTTTAACGTTAACATTAGTTCTGGAAAAAAAAATACATAAAACGTAAAATTGAAGTATGTTAAGTGGTTAGACTATTTGAGTGACTTAGATTTCACAAAATGATGCACGGATCCTAAATGTAGAGACTCGGGGTTCCTTTTATATATACACATGTACATATATAATCTCTGTCATAGACCTTAGTAGAGAAGAAGATTCTTTTTTCCGAGGAATCCTTGTCTGGTTGAATCCAAGAGTTGCAGGCAATATGCACAACGCCTTCAATGTTGATGCTATCCAAATACAACTCCTCCTCGTACTTGTTACTCACTGTGATGGCTCCTGGCATCCCAAATTTAGGATCCACCTCAAATTTAACTTCGTAACTGCTTTTCTCAGCACCCAGGATTAGGTTTAGGTTTAGATCCTTGGACCAATCCAATATAGCTTCATTGCTCAGCTTTGGCTTCATGGACTCTATGTTTCAATGCGACATTAAGAAGAAAAGTCAAAGTGGTATTGTTGAAATAATTTTTTTTAATAAGAAAAAGTTAGTTTATATAGCCAAAGAAGAAACATATGGCACCAAAGAGAAATATTGTAAATAAAATAATAATAATTAATATTGATAAAATAATAATAATATGATAATAGTAGTAGTAGTATAGCTTTACCTGCTTCAGTTTCAGTACTAACAAGCTGTAAAACAAGACACTGTTCCTTTTCCTCGTGGCGGGTGAAATGATCATGATTGCCAAACCAATGAAGCATCATGCCTTGGATGCTTAGCTTCAGACTTTTCCTTACAGTCACCAGCGCAGTGAGTTCGACGGGCAGCGTCGTCTTCTGATCAACGGCAGTAGAGGATATTAATGTACTTACCATGTCCCCACCTGTGGCCTGGTCAAGAGCCTTCTTCTTCCTAATTTGTTGCAATCTCCTTCTCTTTGTTGAAGAAAACAAATTGGGAGGAGGAGAAGAAATCTTGGGCGCGTTCCAAAGAACACAATTCAGTGCCTTTGAATTAATGTGATTGGAATTAAAAAATGAGCTAATCATAGTAGTTGTCATAGCTATATATATATTATATAATATGTTCTTTCTTCCGGCAATTTTTGCTTGCTCTGCTTCACATGAATTTCCTTTAACACTCCTATTCCTATATATAGCTGATTTCATATGAGATTAATTAGTCGCCGAGCGGGGGCGGTGGTTGTGGTGGTGGTGTGGGGGACTGGTTGAGGTCCTTGGATGGAACGTATGCCTTAACAAATTGGAATTTAATTAACCAGTCACACCAAAAGAGGGGAAAATAACAAATTAGAGCACTGTTCATTCACTTTTGGCGTGATTTAGGATGGTAGGGGTACTATTTGGTTAGTTGTCACGTTTTTAGGGATCCCAATGTTGTGTGGCGTAGATCTACTTGTTTTATAGTATCTTTGTACCATGTTTCTTCATTTTCTTGGTTTCACTCTGATCTCATTTGAAATATGTGTTATTTGGGAATTCATTGTGATTAGGCCAATTGATTCACGTCCAACTATATACATAGATGCATCTAGATCTAGCTAGTATATGTATTTTTCTCGTTTCAGTTGTTGCTGCACGCTAGCCTAGAATGGTCCAGCAATAAAAAAAAAAAAATAGAGATATTTAGTCATACACCTATTCCTAGCACTAATGATATAGATAAACTATATACCATTTCATTTCTATAAACAAACCTAAAAAAAACATACATAAAAAAAAGTGTACGTTCCCAAAAAAATATCAATGTATACATGAAAAAAGTATACGTACGTTCCCAAAAAAAATCAATGTATACATCAAAAAAGTATACGTACGTTCCCAAAAAAATATCAATGTATACATCAAAAAAAGTATACGTACGTTCCCAAAAAAAAAATCAATGTATACATCAAAAAAAGTGTACGTACGTTCAATTCCTTCCCACCAGTTTGTTTGTAGACCTTTCATTCATCTAAGTTTTTAGGGAGTTTCACTAAAACACCCAAAATGGGGGCTGAAATTATAAAAAAACCTAACACCCAAAATACTTTATAAACACACCAAAAACCTATCATTACACGCACTCAAAATCCATTTATAAACACACCCAAAAAATATACAATTGTTGATTTTGGGGTTGATTTTAGTTGTGTTTCAATGTTTAAATAGTGTTTGAATTTTTTTATAAATACATGTTTAGAATTGGGTTTATTTATAAATTTGTAAAGTTTTTATCGTCAACCGTCCACTTGGCCCACGTCCTTTTGTATCGGAAGCAACTGCGTCATCAGCCCTCAGTACATATTGTCAGAGACAGACAACCATACGTTAATGTCGGTGGTGACAAGTCATTAGGATCGAAAAGGCGTACATTAGCGGAAAACGAGAATAGCATGTTTTTATTTATTTATCTTCATCTTCATGCATGACATAACCAAACCAGGACCAGCTAATTAACCTAAGCTTTTACGTTTATCAACATTTGGAATTGGAAAACTTTGCTTCCCTTCCCTTGTAGGCTCTAAGCTAGCTACCTAAAAGTCACTGCTATACTATTGGGCACTCCTCTACGTCCCAGCCTCTGAGGTAGGCATAGGGTGAGACTCCAGCCCCACATCTGTTCCTCAAATTTAGATCACCATTTCTTCTCTCAATCTCCTCCTCAGTTCTCTTCATCTCCATTGAGAATCTATAAAATGCCTCAACAATCACATTGTCAGCTGACCATGTTGACAGCAAGTCCTTTCTCTCCCCAATATACTCCTCACCAGGAGATTGAGCTGAGATGATATCAATCACAGCCATGTATTTGGTTGGCTCAAACAGACTAGGCAGCGATGATAGAAAACATTGCTGTGGGTCCCTCATGAAATTGGCAAACTCATCAGGGTCATCATACTGATGTGGCACCAGCCTCCTCATGTTTGGTGGGCGAGTTGGAACATATACCCTCCATATATGGGTACTGCCCAAAGTTCAGAGCAGCACGTTTGGCTGATGTGATCCAGATGATGGTGGTGATAATGGATATGAGATCTTTTTGGGTTGAGAGTTTGGGCCACCAGCTGGCTTGGATGGTGACCCTGACTTGGTTGTAGCCAAGCTGAGCTCAATAGCAATTGGCTTTAAAGTTCCCAATGAGGTCAAGAACAATATCGTACGTGTTCCATAAGCCTTTCGGTCCTCCAGAGCATTTATTTGGTTGAGAAATGGAAGGAACATGTCATGATGATAGTCTAGTATGAACAGCTTGTTTTCTTCTAACGCCTGCAAAACCCACAATCATTCATTGTTGTGAAATCTATGTTGAATTTTCGTGTATACAAGTCCGTCATACATGGTGACATCACTGTTGCAACATGTACGTGAGGCTTCTACGTATATGTTATGAGAGGAATGTCACATTCGACATTCCCATACGATATGCCTGTTGTACGGACATGGCATCAAGATGGCCCTTTAAATGTTCTTCCTTGAGTGCCGACTCTTGTGGACCATAGATTGATGGATCAAGCTTGCTTACAGGTGGGAAAACTGTAAGCCTTTCAATGCTTAGATGGTTTATGCCTGCAATTGCTTGACGCCCAAATTCGTCATCTCGCAAACAACAAGATGTGTCCCATGTAAATTGTGGTCGACTCATTTACTGGTGACTCCATGGTCACTGCCCTGATCAACTGATTTAATTCAGTGACCTGTCTTGGATGGAAGGCGTCCGGTACGACACCGTCTTGGGTGTGGGTTCTTGTTGCCTCCAAGAGTGGGTCTTATGCATTCAATTCCTTTGTCTGGATTTCCAATGTCATTGTATGTGTTATAGTGGTATATTCTGTCAGATGGCATTCGAAGCCCTGTCTCACCCCTCAGCTACCTTAGCTCCATTTCTCTTATCTCTTTCAGCCCTTCCGGTGTCTCCGGAGCGGCTCAAAGTCTTCATGACACAAATACATTTGTCATTTACAGGTAAGGTTCTCTTGCTTGTCCGTACAGTCACCGGGGCTGTGAGTTACAATGTCTTCATTGCAGTCACATATTGGGTGACATTGAGTACTTGTGGCCGTTGGGCTTTTCAAACGTGGGCTAACCCGCTCTGATACTATGAAAGGAGTTGAGGTTCCACCCTAAAACCAATTGGCAATAGGGGGAGTAGTCCAACTCCTTATAAGCCTTTGTTAGGTTTCTCAACTTTCCAATGTGGGATTTCTTACCTTCACATTCTCACAGTCAATGGCAGTGGCACCACCCTCTTCTTCCTCATCTCTTGGAATCTTCTCCTCTTCGCTGAAGAAAATAAAACGGCGGAGGAGGAGGAGGAGGAGGAGGAAGAAGGATTACGATAATTATTTAGTGGTTTTGAAATTTGATTAGTACGGTCAAGTGATTTTACTGCGAATGAGCCCATACTTAGTGCCACATAGCTTATCGCTCTAAAGATGGAACTGAAAAGTATAGAAAGATTATAATTTGTATGTACCAATACGTGCATGTAATTGCTATGAGCCTAATATGAGTATGCTGATAAGTACCAAACACCTAATTTTGGCCAAGTGATGTGGGACTGTGATTTATTCTAGTGACATGCAGCTTGGTCATGTGCGGACTGACACAACGTATCATCATTCAGTATGTAAGTTTGTCTCCTTCACAATTAGATTGGCGCAACAATGACTTTATTTCGGAGTGGCAAATGAAAGAAACCTATCCAAAAGTTTAAATGTCATATTCAATATTAGCTGTAAGTTTTCTGTGAGTCTATGTGCCTACTGATAAGCACCAAACACATAATTCAATTAATTAACTGAATTATGTGTGGATCTCTTTTTGTTTGGCTAAGTTTTACTTTTCTAAGCTGGATGGGATGGATCATGCAATAATGCATCGATATCATTGTAACCAACAAAACGTAACGACGTGTATCAATTTCAATGATATCAATTGTCGTCCTGCATAAAGAGTTTCTGGTATGGCATCTAGATCAATAATGGTAGCAGCTGAGCCAGAAAAAACAAACTATAGAACCAATAACCGAAATCGATTATGCTAACACGATAATCAGTACAAAATCATGGTTTCCTCAACTCTGACACCAAAAAACCTATACAAGACTACACTCAGAATTTTAAGGTCTCAAGACCTTTTCCAATATACAACTCGACCCAACAAAGGATTTAGTCCCAACAGGGGAAAGCACCTAAGAATGTGAAGAATTAATAACAAATCCAAGCGTTAATTCTGTGGTTTTCGTATGCATATTAACTAATATCGAACAATATCCTGAAGGCAATCATAAAAGAACTGGATGTTTATCTTCTCTTTTCCAGAGTAGATTGCCTCGGCAGATCCTCCTTCCTCACCCTGGGCTGCCATCTCAATTACCATATAGAGCTTCTTGATAGGCATCTAGAGAGAGAAATTGAATGGATAGAATGAAAGTTAAAAAAGGATTAAATAAAGGGAAAAGACAGAGAAAAATAAGATCCCCCAATTAATACCATTCAAAAACATAGAACTGGATGTTTGAATGGGTTTCAGAAATGGTATTGCAAATTAATTTATGATTAAATGACTTAAAACATTAAACATAGTTGAGGTTGCAAAGTCCAGCCACATGTAAAGTTTTGTCCTTCTAGAAAAATCTAACAAGATAAACGTTTAGGTTTCAAAAGAAAATGTCACGAGCAATGTCTCACAAAATTATAAGTATTTTTTCTTCTATAATTTTCTGTTCAAAAAAGACTTGCTGAGCCACACCATAAATTAACCGTAGAAAATTCAAATTCAAATTCAAATAAAATAACGAACAAAGGTAAGGGAAGACCAAGTTTACATCATTTAGGGCCTCTGCCGCAGCATCAATGTCTTCATCAGCAAAAACATTCAACTGTGCTAGCACCTGTGATGAGAATAATGCCAAGAAGTTATGAAGAGCATTCAACTTATCAACAACAATGTTGAAACAACTGACAAATGTAAAAATAACAAAACAACACCAAAATGGAAACAACAATAATGGTTACCTGCTTTGCATCCTCTGTCTTTAATGTGGGAACATTGTAAGTCACAGAGAAGGTATTACAAAAACCGATTGAATCTAGGAAGCCCAATTCACTTGTTGTTCCAAACACCAGAAGCTTTTTTCCCTGAAGATGGGAGAAAAGGTTAAAAAGAAAGATTATAGGCATCCAAAGACTTCAGAGATATAAGGAAGAAGGCGGAAAAAACCCAATCTATAATCATGTTCCAAAAAGTAAAGGCTTTATATGGTGTCAGCCAATAAATATTCTAAAACCAGTATGAAGTCCAGGGAAAATGAAAAACCTTTGGAGGAAGGCGCTTCAGAAGGACCAACAGTGTTTGAGATAGCACATTTGAAAACCTTGGACCAATAGCAACATACTCCAGTAACCTGCAACACATTTTCAAAATAACAATTTATTCAGATAAATGGCTTGTAAAGGCTTTGGGGACAAACCAAGATGAGTAACAGAAGTAAATTAAACTTAGATCAGCAGTAATTACCTCTCAATGTCATCGAGGATAATGATGCTCAATGGTGACTTGTATGCATCCTCAAAAACCTATCAAAAAATTACAAATATTAAAAATGAAAAGATAGTATTAAATGCAAGGCTTTTTAGTAAATCAGCAAATCATCCCATGATGTTGCTGAGTTCACAATAGCCATAGTTGAATATTTGAGACATGAAAGCGACATCTTTAAACTGACCAGTAATTAGCACTTTTCTGAAAACTACATTTTCTTAGAAGTGTCCAAGAAGACAGACAAACCTTTAAAATTTGGGCACATTTGGTACTCTCATGAAGACCAATCATTGTCTCAGCAGAAACCTGTCCAGTTAGCAAAATTCGAAAACATTGTATCAGAAATTAAAGGAAGCGAGATATAGAAAAGACTGCAAATTCTTGAAAATCATACAAATATGCAACATGAAACAAAAAATATGGGATATGAGCTTACAATCTTGACATAGGGAAAATCACTGTCGATGCCAACAGTAGCTGCTAGTGCAGATTTACCACTGTCCAATATGGGTAAAGTTCAGAATGCTCAAATAACCAAAAGAAAATTAAAAAATGAATATATAAAAACACACAAATGCATACCTGCCACTAGGGCCTTCCAGAAGGCATGTAACAAGTGGGCTTCCTTTGCTCAATTTAACTTGCTCCACTAGTAGCATAGCTCTTTGATAAATGTGCTTATGTCGATCACCACAATCCACCATGCCATCAATTCTGTAAAACAAGTTACAAAAGAATCAGGAAATGAAGTGTAAACAAAAATTAACAGACTCCATATCTTGCCAGACATCAAAGAAAGCATGATCTTCGTTTTAAACAGACTAAGATAAATATTTCTGTTACTGTCACCAAGATTACTACTTGCTAGCTTGATCTAATATAACAACCTGATGTAAACTAAGCTAGACCGATAGCAATTACATTTCCCTATTGCTCAACAGCTCAATAGTAAGTTAGTTAGCAACTAACTAAAGCCATACCTGCATCTTTCAAGGTCATCAGTGGAGGCTCCAAATGCAGGTACAATTTCATGGAGTGCATGTAGAAAATCATCCATGGTAACTTTAATACTCTCTTCATCCACTGGCTTGGTCAGATCATCCAAACTTAATTGCCTATTCAAAGCAAATGATACTGCACTTTTAACGACACCTTCAAGTTCTGCACCACTGTAGTTTTTTGTGCGAGCCGCTGCAAACATGAAATATATAAGCAAAGCCCTCCATCTCCTTCGTGGATACATGCTTACAGTTCAAAGTATTATAAAAATATTTACAATTTCACACAATAGAATTAGGAAAATAAAAATAAAAAATAAAAAAAATAGAAGAATTTTCATTCTCAAGTTCTTTGACTTTTAAAACATTGGTTTTACCCCGCACGAGCCTAACTAAATATTCTTCTTGATGTAAAACCAGAACCTTTAGAGAGAAGAGAGAGAGAGAGAGAGAGAGAGAGAGAGAGAGGGTAAACTTTATTCACCATGCCAAAAACTATGAGATTAACTTGCAAACATTCCTATTTATGTAAGCAATCCCAAATAATGAAATGCTGCAAAAGATAAGTAGATAAAAAGAACCTAACTTCTACCCTTGCAACTCTGCGTAAAATAAGTACATATATCCTTCTTGCATCTGTCATCATTACTGATTTCTCATTTTTTATCACTTACCCAAAGGTTGTAACTTGTAAGAGATACAACAAATCTACTACAGGCATCTTCTTTTAGGAGTAGGTGGGACAACAAATTGACAAAAATCTAAATACATTTTATACGCCCATATATAACATTAATATTGTTTCTGATACAGCTTTTCACCAAGTTAGAATACTCAAACCAGCCTATGTAATATTTTAGTGTTAAAATAAGTATTTTTAAGTTACAATTTTAATCGCCATCTTCAGCTGATGTAATAATTTGAACTGAATAGTCTTCAATCAATTAACTCAACCAATTAACATATAAATAAGTATCGGCAAGCACGTCACTTTTGCACATACCAAGCTCTTGGAGGTTCACATCCGGAGCAAGAAAAGAGCTCTCCTTCATTTTGTTCGTATGAATTTGTAGAATCTGTAGACGACCATTTTCATCAGGAA